CTCAAGTCATTCATAAAAAACTAAAGTAACATAAGTTCAAAAACTGGAACATTAAAGCACTGTTTTCAAAATAACAATAAAATAATAAATAATATTTAAGAACATTTAATGAATAACAACAAAGATATCCTCTTTCAAACTAATGGCATTTAAACTACCAAAAAATGACGACTGTAATGTTACTCTATCTTTATCAATCTGAACTTTAGTTGTTGCACATTCTTCTTACTTTTCACTGTTTAAGTGGCTGGTACACATGTGTTGTGTTGCGGTGTACTGTAGGCAGAGGCGGTTCTAGACCAATTTGACTGGGGGGTGCACAATAAATGCAGGACGAAAAAGACAAAGACAGTATGAAGTAATTGCGCATAAGAAAACAATGCAATACAGTAATTGGTATTTGTTTCAGTACACATATTTATTTCAGATACTTATAGTTACAGTTTCTACGCTCTAATGGGTCTGACTAAAATGACAAATAACGTTAGTTCCGCCTATTCCGTCGGCCAATAAATCGTTTAATCAAAAACCTCCTCCCCTAGAACCGCCCCTGATCTGTAGCAACATTTGTTTTTCAAAGTTTGGTCTTATTGTAGCCGAGCTTAAAGCCAAAGTATCATTACACAACAGAGGTCGTGTTTTATTTGGCCAACAGTTCAGTGTCCTTCTGATTAGCGTTAGCATCCATTTCCACAAGTCTCCCGCTCTTCTCTGCACAGTAAGGTGACCAAACGCAGCATAACAAACACAGACTCATGAGTCGGCTATGCATCATGTGGGTACATATTGATCAGAATGCACAAACAGTGAATACGCTGTCACATTCACACACACACTTTTTATTTTCAACTAAATCATAGCCTTTTGGTTATATAATCGCACAGGCTCCTATTGCAACTGTGATGCCTATTAGATTAATATGCAGGCCTTAATAACTGTAATGCTGACTGAAAAGGCTAGACTCTTTACCAAAGACATTTAATGAGTATTAATTGTAAAAATGGACATTGTTAAGTCATTTGTATAGTCTTAAAAATCCATGGTAACATTTTATAGGCTTGAGTGTTGGTATTTCCCCCCTCTTCTCAGAAATAAAAAACTGGTTTAAAACTTTTTTTCTTTTCCGTCGTTTGTGTCCTAACTTCTTTTTTTTCATGAATCAAGGTGCAAAATAATTACAAAAACAGAAAGGCTGCACGTGAAAGTTATATTGGGATTATTGTGGACAATATTGACAAGATTTGCGAATGCAATATTATAATAAAAAATGCTATCATGGGTATACTTGCTTGTTATCGAAAGGAAAGTGCACAGACTACTGATCATTTTAAAAGGTATATTTATTTAGTCATTCATCTACAACTAAAGTAACATAAGTTCAGAAACTGGAACATTAAAGCACTGTTTTCAAAATAACAATAAAATAATAAATAATAGTTAAGAAAATTAAATGAATAACAACAAAGATATCCTCTTTCAAACTAATGGCATTTATGCTAACTACTTTGGGCAGATTTCTCAACAGTAGAACAATGAATATCACCACTGTTTCCTAATGTGTGATACATTACTTTGGAAAAGGCATGGTTTATGTGGGAGAAAGGTTTGTCTGATATAAATAAAGTATAAAATATAACGATGTATGACAACAATGTATAACGTCTTTTCAATTTAAAAATGGAAAGGTAATTTAAATGACCAAAAAACTGGATCATCTAGTGATTTAACGTTACCGCTTTAACAATGTTCAAGGTTCAAGGTTCAAGGTTCAAGGTTCTTTATTGTCATACTACCATAGCTACAGAGTAATTATGTCGTTGAAAATCTTAGGTCACAGGCTTCTCCAACAATGCAACACAATAATACAGATAAGCAGACAATATTAACCAATATTAAAATATACTATATTAAAAGTAATACAAAAAGAAAAATGGTTTTAAAAAAAGTGAGAAAAAAAAAAAAGTGGAATAGTGCAATACGAGTCTATATAGAAGTTATTGGAATGATATATTAGATAATAGATACATAATTACTAAGTAGCAGATGAATGTTATGAAATTGTTTCAGCAGTTCAGTTGTTTAACAGTCTTATTGTCTGTGGTATGAAGCTGTCACTGAATCTGGTGGTTTTAGTTCTGATGCTACGGTAACGCCTGCCAGACGGCAGCAGACAGAACAGTTTGTGGCTGGGGTGATGGGGGTCTTTTATAATCCTGAGGGCTTTCTTCCTGAGCCGCTGGGAGTTAACGTCCTCCATGGATGGCAGCTCCGTCCTGGTGATGTTCTGTGCAGTTTTCACCACCCTCTGTAAAGCCTTACGATTGAGGGCGGTGCAGCTGCCGTACCAGGCCGTGATGCAGCCAGTCAGGATACTCTCTATGGTGCACCTGTAGAAGTTGCAGAGTATCCTGGAGTCCATGTTGAACCTCCTCAGCCTGCGGAGGAAGAAGAGCCGCTGTCGAGCTTTCTTGGTGATGGTGGTGGTGTGAAGAGTCCATCTCAGGTCCTCAGTGATGTGGACAACGAGGAACCTGAAGCTGCTGACTCTCTCCACCGTGGTCCCATTGATGGCGATGGGGGCGTATCCCTCTCCCTGCTGCTTCCTGCAATCCACAATCAGCTCCTTTGTTTTGCTGATGTTGAGATGGAGGTTGTTATCCTGGCACCAAGATGTCAGTTTTCCGACCTCTGTTAGTGTTGTTGTCTGTTGTGATTGCGACAGACGCTCCTCACACAGGTCCCATGAGCCAATCTTTTCCCTATACCTCTGTAAAGAACTGTCATGTAGTGCAGCGCCTGCCATTACGACAGTTATATTTCTCTATCTTTATAAATCTGAACTTTAGTTGTTAGGAATTCTTCTTACTTTTCACTGTTTAGGGGGCTGGTACAAATGTGTTGTGTTGCTGCGTACTGTAGCAACATTTGTTTTTCAAAGTTTGGTCTTATTGTAGTCGAGCTTAAAGCCAAAGTATCATTACACAACAGAGGTCGTGTTTTATTTGGCCAACAGTTCAGTGTCCTTCTGATTAGCGTTAGCATCCATTTCCACATTTCCAAGTCTCCCGCTCTTCTCTGCACAGTAAGGTGACCAAACGCACCATGACAAACACAGACTGATTAGTCGGCTATGCATCATGTGGGTACATATTAATCAGATTGCACAAACAGTGAATACGCTGTCACATTCACACACACACACACACTTTTTATTTTCAACTTATTCATGGCCTTTTGGTTATATAATCGCACAGGCTCCTATTGCAACTGTGATGCCTATTAGATTAATATGCAGGCCTAAATAACTGTAATGCTGACTGAAAAGGCTAGACTCTTTACCAACGACTTTTAATGAGTATTAATAAAATTGTGTAAAAATGGACATTGTACAGTATACTTGATCCTCTGTGTAAGTGTATATGTGGAAAACAGACACTCATCACCGAGGTCACAATATCAATCGATCCAGCAGAGCAATAGCCTATAGGCAAAACACAGAAGATCAACAAAATATATGACATAAAATGAACTTACCAAAGCTGAAGTAGATGATCAACTTCATTCATTTTCTTTCCGTTTTACTGATTTGAATCGCTATACGCTGCTCTCTCTCGTCTCCTCTTCACAAACAACTACTATTTTCGCGGCACACGTACTTACAGCCAATCAGCTCTCTGAATTATGAGATGACGTTTGGTAGGTATGTCAGCACAGTGCCCCTATGGTGATTATTTGTTTGCCGCACGCATTGAATAGAAAAATACTCTGAGCATGCGCAGTGTAGTTTTTACAGCACCCATTCGCTTAAACAGTGAAAGAGAGGGGCTAGATCGGGGCTAGATCGGGGCTTGACCCACGTCGCTCAAAACGGCTCAATAGGCACACTGTAGACACTAATTAGAAGAACACAGACTAAAACAGCAATGTACAGATCAATCAGATGATTAAACATGATCTTAAAATATATTTTAAGATCATGTTTTTTTGCATTTATTTGAATTTTTGGGGAATTATTATTTGAATTACTTTCTGCTGACACTAAGTGGGGCTGTGCCCCACCTGCTCCTAATGACCAGTCGCCACTGATGTCTATGGTGAATAACTTCAAAGTAATAAATGTATGTCAAGCTTTCCTGTGCTTGCTTAATAAACCGTTTAACCACTTACATTTGTGTCTGTTTTTATAATTCAGTTTCATGCAATAATCAAAAGTAGTTATGGATATCATTAGAAATAACTATTATGAATAATGGTATAGCTTAATAGGTCAAATACAACAAATGTTTTAATTCATACAAAAGTAGTTATATCCCAATATTGTCATTCATATTTTCCAAATATTATGTTACGTTACGTTTTTGTAGATTTGTTGTGTACAACACTGTTGAGAAGGGATGTGTGCAGTGGTCTGGGAAACAAGCAAAACCACATGCAGCTGATATACTAACAAATAAAAGCTGTGACTTTAATACACTCACCCTCTGACCAAACATCTACACGTCATCACTCAGACTCAACAGACCTGTGGTATTCCACAGGACGTTGGAGGTGAGTCGTGCAAAATGTTATCAAGTTCTCATCATGTTATTGTGAGTCAAGTGGTTTATGACTATCAGCATCTCTAACTTGCAGGTCCAGCATGATGCATATGAATTATCTTAAGCATCGACCTCAAAGGGAAGAAAGACATCTGTCCTATACACCTGTCAGGTGTTATCAAACCCTTATGTTTAATTTGAATGTAAAAGGCACGCACCAAGCCAGATACAGAGCACAGCACGTGACAGGAGATAAGGTAGAATAGAGTAAGGCATTGTTACATCCTGGGACGAAGGCTGGATCTGTCGGACCTCGTGAAGCCAAGAGGCGCCCCAACCAGAAACCTCCAGCACCTCACTCAAAAATATACATAACCAATCAAAAGAGGACACCTCTTCCTAAATATGAAGTATATGAGACTGTGTTTTGCCGGTTGTCGGAGCTCTGAAAGGAAGTGTGAGACAGTAAACTGCTTGCAGTCTGTGGATCACTGGTTTCCGGAGACCTTAGCTGTATTCCTTATCAAAACTGGAATAAATCAGCTTTATTATAACTTTATTGCCTGGTCCAAATCCTTGCTTCGCAGAGAAATTCTGAAACAAGACAAACTTCACTGTCACTGTGTTTGTGATTCAGGTAAATATGCCTTTTATGAAACATTAGTATACAATATGTTTATGACAAACTTGATGACCAAAAACGTGTTTTCATTTATGTCTACCTTTTCAGCTGCAAGGACTATACAAAAGGAAGGTGGAAAAACAGTTACCATTCCACATCAAACTTAAAAGGTTTGTATTTTCTTATCACTCTCCCTTTTATAATGCAGCAGTCGGTAAGAGTTTAACAGTGATTTTTGTGTTGTTCCTCATGACTGTGTTGGATGTGATCTTACCCGATTTCTCTGCAGGTCTGTAACACTTAAAAGCTAAATACAAAAAAAGGATTTTTAGCAATACTCATTCAATATTTATTTGGATTTCTTCAGACACCTTTAATCTCAACAAACAATATGTCCAACAAATATATATATATTTTAGTTCTGCAAAATATGACAATATAAAAAGAAAAACAACCATAAAATGCATTTTAATATAATTAAATGAGTCCATTGATTTCATCGTGTTGAGTACTTGAAACAAGTATAATTTTATAACAGTGGTGATGCTACAACACCACGTCTCATAACATGTAATTTCTTAACAAAAGTTTTTCCCTCTTTCTCTTCACCAGGGAATCATGAGGATCTCATTTGCTTGTTTGCTGTTGCTTTCTGCTACAGTGAGCTCTCAGAATGAGTCTTACACAAAGTTTATAAATCAGCACATCAACGGGGGAATGGATAAAAACAGGTGTGACCAGGTGATAGGGAGTAGAGAGATCACCGAAACTGACAGTAACTTGTGTAAAGACACCAATACCTTCATATTAGCAAAAAACGACCAAGTCAGGGCAGTATGTCGGCTTGCAGGAGAGCCATATGGTGACCGTTTGACCAAAAGCCTCAAACCCTTCGTCATTGTCGTCTGCACACTGAAGAACAAAGGGGCCCGTAAACCCCACTGTAAGTACCAAGGTCAAAAGAGCACCAGGTACATTGCGATCAGCTGTGCAGGAGGCTTCCCAGTGCACTACGGCGGAGACATTGTGCACCTTGACAAGTAACTAATCAATGTACTTTATTCTCAATAAAATAAAATACATTTAAAAGCTTACGATTGTCTTTTGGTTTTTCATGCATCAAGGTGTAAAATAATTACAAAAACAGAAAGGCTGCACGTAAAAGTTATATTGGGATTATTGTGGACAACATTGCAATTTGGGACTGCAATATTATAATAAAAATACTTTCATGGGTATACTTGCTTGGTTATCGAAAGGAAAAAGCACAGACTACTGATCATTTTAAAAGGTTTATTTCTCGAGTCATTCATAAAAAACTAAAGTAACATTAGTTCAAAAACTGGAACATTTGTAAAGCACTGTTTTCAAAATAACAATCAAATAATAAATAATAGTTAAGAAAATTAAATGAATAACAACAAATATATCCTCTATCAAACTAATGGCATTTATGCTAACTACTTTGGGCAGATTTCTCAACAGTAGAACAATGATTATCACCACTGTTTCCTAATGTGTGATACATTACTTTGGAAAAGGCATGGTTTATGTGGGAGAAAAGTTTGTCTGATATAAATAAAGTATAAAATATAACGATGTATGACAACAATGTATAACGTCTTTTCAATTTAAAAATGGAAAGGTAATTTAAATGACCAAAAAACTGGATCATCTAGTGATTTAACTTTACCACTTTAACAATGTTAGTGTTGTTGTGTGTTGTGATTGCGACAGACGCTCCTCACACAGGTCCCATGAGCCAATCTTTTCCCTATACCTCCGTAAAGACCTGTCATGTAGTGCAGCGCCTGCCATTACGACAGTGATATTACTCTATCTTTATAAATCTGAACTTTAGTTGTAACGCATTCTTCTTACTTTTCACTGTTTCAGGGGCTGGTACAAATGTGTTGTGTTGCTGCGTACTGTAGCAACATTTGTTTTTCAAAGTTTGGTCTAGCCGAGCTTAAAGCCAAACTATCATTACACAACAGAGGTCGTGTTTTATTTGGCCAACAGTTCAGTGTCCTTCTGATTAGCGTTAGCATCCATTTCCACAAGTCTCCCGCTCTTCTCTGCACAGTAAGGTGACCAAACGCAGCATGAAAAACACAGACTGATGAGTCGGCTATGCATCATGTGGGTACATATTGATCAGATTGCACAAACAGTGAATACGCTGTCACATTCACACACACAGTTTTTTATTTTCAACTAAATCATAGCCTTTTGGTTATATAATCGCACAGGCTCCTATTGCAACTGTGATGCCTAGGCTATTAGATTAATATGCAGCCCTAAATAACTGTAATGCTAACTGAAAAGGCTAGACTCTTTACCAAAGACATTTAATGAGTATTAATTGTGTCAAAATGGACATTGTACAGTATACTTGATCCTCTGTGTAAGTGCATATGTCCTATATGTTGGCCCTTTTTCCTGTAGCCCATACTTTGAACTGTGAAACAGCCAATTGCATCATTAGTTTGTTGTCTGATCATACTGTGATTACAGCAATGTTCATTTCACTGGGTTCAAGGCTTTACCGGAATAAACTTGAACTGTGATCAGCAAACATTTAGATAAACGTTCTGCCTTTGCTCCAAACGTAACAGGTTTGATAACGATATAGCCCGTACAAGTCTGAATAGGTCGGCCTCCTCAGTGAAACCATACAGTATGCAACTTGCTAAAAATGTTGGAGCAAAGCAGTCTTGCACCTGTACCAGAAGATGGCAGCAGAGTGAAGAGAGACAGAGATATACTGATATCCAAGTTGAGTCAGAATTGGAAATACAAGTGGTACATACAGAGCTATATTGGGATCGTGAGAAACACAAAATTAGAAAATGAAGCAAAAGAAGTTGCTTTAATCAGAAGTAAGTCTTTAACATGAAGATCATCACATCGGACCCTGTAGGAATTAAACTGCAGATTTGTAGGTTTGCCATGAGTGTTTCTTTTTATACATTTAGTCCTCTTTGCTTTTGGCCTCAAAAAGTTTATGTGGGGACCAGTTCTTACTCCAAACAACACATTCAAATTGACAATGTTTCAAACACTATCTATACAATTTCAGGTTGGACTTTGACTTTGTTTGACCTTCAGCTCACAACACAAAAATATAACTATTTGTCATGATGCATAAAAAAAGAATTATACCTCATACCTCATTATCTGGGTTTCACAATGTGTTCCCAGCAGCACGTTCTACCTGGATGAGCAACAGAGTTTCAGTTTTCTTTCTTTTTAACTGAAACTCATAAATAACCTCTACAGCCTGATAACGGCAGATAAGGTGAGTTTTTATATATACACATGTTTTCTCTTATCTGCCCTTTTTTCCCTGATGGGTCAGTATTTATTTTTGCTGTTTTTGTTGATAAAACTCTTTGCTGTGTTGTTGTTGTTGATGCTACAGGAGTTCAGAGTGCACTTGCTGTTTGTGTGGTTATTTATGAATAAGTGGGTTTAGGCCTGCCGCTGCATGTTTGAGATGATGTATTCCTTCCTGTTTTGGCGCTCTGCAGTCTGCTGTAGTGCTTTCTTTTTCTTATGCATATTGATAAAAAAAAAAGGTGCACTGATAATGTTTGATGTGACCGAATAGCTATGAAAATGTGTGATGTCATATTTATGATATTTGCATTGTTTTCTTTTTTATGTGAACATAAGTATATCTAAAAGTTCATTACTTTATTAAAAGAGTGAAAAATGTCTGTCCCAGTCTTTCAAAAGCCAAAGGGGATGACTTTAAATGTCTTATCAGTCCAACACCCAAGGATATTCAGTTAAATATGGTATAAAAACTGAAAAGAACATTCCCACGTGGGGGAAAATATTCTCCCATTTTGGCATGAACAATTAATTATCAAAACATAATAATTATTTATTTAGAATATCAGACATACAACATGTTTGTCATAAAAATAGAAAAGAATGTTGTGCAAAGTTATCTGTTTTGAGGGTATCAACCATGTGCCCTTCAACAGCTAAAAATCTACAAGCATCCATTTGCCTCAACTGTATTGTTCCTATGCTGCATTTACATGATAAACACTACCTCCTGCACACTGGTAGGAGACAGGCCTTTGGACACTACATAATGCTAATACACTGTACTGGCTAGAACACAGTTTATCATACAGTGTGGTGTCCCGGGCAGTTCAAGATCCCAGAGACACAGTCTGCAGACCGGTCTGCAGAGGCGTTCGGTTAAGTAGTTAAACTTCCCGCTGCCCCAGAACTGAAGGAGAAGGAGCAATTCTTCCAGCAGCTGGCCAAAGCCCCGTCTTTTGAGAGGTATGTGGGTGACGGGTGTCATATATTTGTCAAGATGCCATTTGGACCCAGGACTACCTCAACAGTAAGCTCGTCCCATTCATCTGTGCCCAATTGTGTAGGGTTTTGTATAATTGTTCCCACTCACTTAGCTATTTGTTATTTAATATACAGCATTGGTACTTGTATTGTGTATTTTCATTTGTCTGGTTCTGATTGAAAGGTACAAACGCATCTTCGGTATATAAGTTTGACTATTCAGCTGGCAGTTACACCTGGAGTAAAGCTTATGAAGACCAGCCAAATTACTAGTTGTATTCTTTTTGTCTTCCCTAAATAAGAAAGTGCACCATGAATGTAAAGTGTGCCAGAAATCTGATTTTATTGGAATATTTTTTTGGACAAAAGATTAGCTTTGAATGGGCTTGTGAAAAGTGCTCATTTAAGCTAAAACAAACATACAAAAAACATGAACTGTATTTCAAACAAAATGCATGATATTTGTAGTTAGAAAAGTTAAAGAAATAGCAATTTTAGATTGGAGTCATTTACTTTGTTGTAAGGTTTGGGTTCATTCATTGTTTTCTATTAAAATTAGGGCTGTCAAGTTAACGCGTTAATAACGCGTTAACGCAAAAAAAAATTAACGCCACTAATTATTTTAACGCGATTAACGCATGTGTATTTTTTGTCCTCGCCGCCCCGTAGTTTCAGAGCGCATCGAGTTTTAAAATACCATCTACAAGCTGATGCTGACAGCCCCGCTCCTGCTGCCCGCTTGTGGCAGACCACACTTCCACGCTCACCGGCAGGCCCGGACTGGCCATCGGGAGGACCGGGAGGGAGTGTGTATGTGTGGCGCGACTCGCGCAAGCGAGGCACACCTTACGTGTTGTTGTTGTTAGCATCTGGTGCTAGCTAGCTGCGCTAATGGATATAAGGAGCTGTTTCAAGGACATTTCGCCGACAACTGCGCCGAGCACTTGACTTTATGCAGGCAGCCAGACAGTGGGACATTGTACGAAAAGTCAGCTCACTCAGCACGGATAGTACGCGCGACATGATTGCAGCGTCCAGGCAGCACACGTTCGAGCATATATGCCTTGAGCGGCACACACACACACACACACACACACACACACACACACACACACACACACACACACACACACACACACACACACACACACACACACACACACACAGTATTATTGTATGAGAGAGGTTCCAGGTTGAATTGAGGCGAATATTTGTAATGTTCAGAGGTTGTTGTGTTTAATATTCATGAGAATATTTGTCATTGTTCAAATGATAATAAACAAACATATAAAGCATATTTGTCCACTCATATGTTGATAAGAGTATTAAAAACTTGAAAAATATCCCTCTAAGGTACATTTAGAACAGATAAAAAATGTGCGATTAATTTGCGATTAATCGCGATTAACTATGGACAATCATGCGATTAATCGCGATTAAATATTTTAATCGACTGACAGCCCTAATTAAAATATAAGTTGTAAGAATTGTAAATCTAAGAATAAGTCACTTTTGATGGATAGAAATAATACTTTTAATAAACATTCCAATTGTATTTGTATTGGAATAGTATATGGCTCTGTACTCTCTTTTTTTTTGTTACCTTCTCTTTTCTCATTTCATGTGGGACGGTGGCTATCCTTGCATTGAACAGCCATCTTGACCTTCCATCAGGAGCCACTGCATGGGAAGGTGCAGAGCCGACAGCCAACAGCACTCTGCTGAAGCCCCTGCTAAATAAAGCGGCCTTTGGTATGATGGAAGTACAATGGAGGTGCCTGTTGTTAATGCCCTGAAGGTAGAACATGCTTTTTGGTCCTTTAGTTGTAACAGGTTAACTGAACAACATTTGTTTGACGTCTGTTTAACTTTAGCTTGCAAATGTAAAGTGTTTTAAATACCTTTGTGTTTTAATGTCAAGTAAAAGGTGAACATACATTGAGCTAACATGTTAAGCTTTAAAAAAAAAAAGAAAAAAAGGTTTGAAAAACCTATTTGGGTTTTGTTGCATGACCAGAGGCCTTTACTTCTAACAAGTTAAAACCCAGTACTTCTGCACAGTTACAGATGAAGATGCTACTAACATTTTTTTATAATAGAATAAGAATAGATTCCAGATATGGCTGCGTAGGGTTGTTTAAGATGATCTTAGAACAGATATTTGGTTATAGTTTCCACTGGGGACTTCCTCATTTATTTGTCAATCTACTAAACCAACTGGTGATACCAAAAGATGGAAGCTGAGCTGTGTCAAGAGACACGAGTCTATTTTCTATCCTTTGTAGCAGAAGGTAGCACAAGTGTTGTGATGCTTTAATCAACTGAACGTGCAACGTTTTTTATTATGGCATTGGCAGCAGAGATTTGTCACATTTGTCATGGGCGCAACCCACATACTCAGCTCTGCTGCTCATCCCACAGATGCATGTTCCTCACAAATGTGGCACCATTTGAAAGGTAAATAAACAGGTTTTCCAACGGTATACATGTATTGACAAGAAGCATTGTTACTGCAAATAAATCATCTACCAAACACAGATTTCCTTACTTTTTGTGTTAAGTTTATATCAAATATAGCAAATATCTTAATTCATACAAAAGTAGTTATGTCCCATATTTTTGTGCATCATAAGATTTTTTATAATTTAATATTGTGTCAATTCTTCATGTACGCATCACTGTTGAGAAGTGATGTGTGAGTGGGCTGGGAAACAAGCAAAACCACATGCAGCTCCACAGGACGTTGGAGGTGACTCGTGCAAAATGTTATTTAGTTCTCATCATGTTATTGTGAGTCATGTGGTTTATGACTATCAGCATCTCTAACTTGCAGGTCCAGCATGATGCATATGAATTATCTTAAGCATCGACTTCAAAGGGAAGAAAGACATCTGTCCTATACACCTGTCAGATCTATTATCAAACCCTTATGTTTAATTTGAATGTAAAAGCACTTTTAACTGTGTAAACAATATTCTCTATTTTGTTTGTAAAGCGAAACATACTTAATGGAAAAACACAATACTTCACTTTTCATATTGTGTCATTGTTATTGATGACATTGTTCGAGGCACTACTGTTTGTGAATCGTTTGCTTAAAAGACTTGAAATGTCAAAAATGATTCATATTTCAGAAGCATGTGTGCAGGTTTGAAAGAGTTAGTCAAACTTCAGAGGACGTGTGGTGACTAATGCTATATTGCATAATGTTGTCAAACAGTAAATACTTTGTTTACCTTTGGCCAACGTGATGATTTGGGAGTTTTCTCCCCAATGCGAAGTTGGGCCAAGAAATCAAAGTCCAAAACAACTCCTATAAATGATTCAGCAGTTTGCAGAGACTTCACTTTCACTGTGTTTGTGATTCAGGTAAATATGCCTTTTATGAAACATTAGTATACAATATGTTTAAGACAAACTTGACCAAAAACCTTTTTTCATTTATGTCTACCTTTTCAGCTGCAAGGACTATACAAAAGGAAGGTGGAAAAAACAGTTACCATTCCACATCAAACTTAAAAGGTTTGTATTTTCTTATTACTCTCCCTTTTATAATGCAGCAGTTGGTAAGAGTTTAACAGTGATTTTTGTTATGTTCCTCATGACTGTGTTCAATGTTATCTTACCCGATTTCTCTGCAGGTCTGTAACACTTAAAAGATAAATACAAAAAAAGTATTTTTAGCAATACTCATTAAATATGTATTTGGATTTCTTAAAACACCTTTAATCTCAACAAACAATATGTCCAACAAATATATATATATTTTAGTTCTGCAAAATAGGACAATATAAAAAGAAAAACAACCATAAAATGCATTTTAATATAATTAAATGAGTCCATTGATTTCATTGTGTTGAGTACTTGAAACAAGTATAATTTTATAACAGTGGTGATGCTACAACACCACGTCTCATAACATGTTATTGCTCATGGGAAATATTAATTATAATAAGTACTAATTTATGCTGCCATTCATTCTCTAACAAAAGTTTTTCCCTCTTTCTCTTCACCAGGGAATCATGAGGATCTCATTTGCTTGTTTGCTGTTGCTTTCTGCTACAGTGAGCTCTCAGAATGAGCCTTACAGAAAGTTTATAAATCAGCACATCAACGGGGGAATGTCTGTAAACAGGTGTGACCAGGTGATAGGGGAGAGACAGATCACCGAAACTGGCAGTAACTTGTGTAAAGACACCAATACCTTCATACTAGCAAACAACGACCAAGTCAGGGCAGTATGTCGGCTTGCAGGAGTGCCATATCGTGACAGTTTGACCAAAAGCCTCCAACCCTTCGACATTGTCGTCTGCACACTGAAGAACCAAGGGGCCCATAGACCCCGCTGTCAGTACCAAGGTCGAAGGAGCACCAGGTACATTGCGATCAGATGTGCAGGAGGCTTCCCAGTGCACTACGGCGGAGACATTGTGCACCTTGACAACTAACTAATCAATGTACTTTATTCTCAATAAAATAAAATACATTTAAAAGCTTACGATTGTCTTTTTGTTTTTCATGCATCAAGGTGTAAAATAATTACAAAAACAGAAAGGCTGCACGTAAAAGTTATATTGGGATTATTGTGGACAACATTGCGATTTGGGACTGCAATATTATAATAAAAATGCTTTCATGGGTATACTTGCTTAGCTATCGAAAGGAAAAAGCACAGACTACTGATCATTTTAAAAGGTTTATTTCTCAAGTGATTCATAAAAAACTAAAGTAACATAAGTTCAAAAACTGGAACATTTGTAAAGCACTGTTTTCAAAATAACAATCAAATAATAAATAATAGTTAAGAAAATTAAATGAATAACAACAAAGATATCCTCTTTCAAACTAATGGCATTTATGCTAACTACTTTGGGCAGATTTCTCAACAGTACAATGAATATCACCACTGTTTCCTAATGTGTGATACATTACTTTGGAAAAGGCATGGTTTATGTGGGAGAAAAGTTTGTCTGATATAAATAAAGTATAAAATATAACGATGTATGACAACAATGTATAACGTCTTTTCAATTTAAAAATGGAAATGTAATTTAAATGACCAAAAAACTGGATCATCTAGTGATTTAACTTTACCACTTTAACAATGTTAGTGTTGTTGTGTGTTGTGATTGCGACAGACGCTCCTCACACAGGTCCCATGAGCCAATCTTTTCCCTATACCTCCGTAAAGACCTGTCATGTAGTGCAGCGCCTGCCATTACGACAGTGATATTACTCTATCTTTATAAATCTGAACTTTAGTTGTAACGCATTCTTCTTACTTTTCACTGTTTCAGGGGCTGGTACAAATGTGTTGTGTTGCTGCGTACTGTAGCAACATTTGTTTTTCAAAGTTTGGTCTTATTGTAGTCGAGCTTAAAGCCAAAGTATCATTACACAACAGAGGTCATGTTTTATTTGGCCAACAGTTCAGTGTCCTTCTGATTAGCGTTAGCATCCATTTCCACAAGTCTCCCGCTCTTCTCTGCACAGTAAGGTGACCAAACGCAGCATAACAAACACAGACTGATGAGTCGGCTATGCATCATGTGGGTACATATTGATCAGAATGCACAAACAGTGAATACGCTGTCACATTCACACACACAGTTTTTTATTTTCAACTAAATCATAGCCTTTTGGTTATATAATCGCACAGGCTCCTATTGCAACTGTGATGCCTATTAGATTAATATGCAGGCCTAAATAACTGTAATGCTGACTGAAAAGGCTAGACTCTTTACCAAAGACATTTAATGAGTATTAATTGTGTAAAAATGGACATTGTACAGTATACTTGATCCTCAGTGTAAGTGCATTATGTCCTATATTTTTGCCCTTTTTCCTGTAGCCCATACTTTGGACTGTGAAACAGCCAATTGCATCATTAGTTTGTTGTCTGATCATACTGTGATTACAGCAATGTTCATTTCACTGGGTTCAAGGCTTTACCGGAGTAAACTTGAACTGTGATCAGCAAACATTTAAATAAACCTTCTGCCTTTGCTCCAAACGGCGTGTCAACATGTTTGAAACGATGCAGCCCTCAGCAGATCTAGGCGTATAATTGGATGTCATCTAATGCCTTTGCCATGGCGACAGATCACTTGCCATCAAACACAATGTTGATGTTACTGCTGTAACACCTATAGAAACCAGCCTGTCCTCCTACAAAAAACGACCATATAGAGTGGCGAAGTCACGCCCATCTACTTCCGACCCATGGGACCTTATTTCGTAAAAATAATGTATTGAAGTCAATGGAGAGAGAAAACGTATCTTTCGATCCCGTTTGAATTGTGCCATGAATTACACATATGATGTTTGTCAATCTTAAAAAATAATTTCCATGTCAAAAAAGTCACAGTTTGTCATAAAACTGTTGAAATATAAGACTGTGAAAAATATGCAACTAGAAAGACTACAAATCCCAGAGTGAGTCGCGTAAGTGATGTCACAATTGTTTTCCTCACTAAGAGATAGCTAAGATCAGCGCCATATAGATATAATCTATCTATATGGCGCTGGCTAAGATAAGATAACTTTAACAAGATGCCTGTGTGCTTAGTACCAGGTTGTTATTATACCAGCAATGGGTCTTGCTCGTTCTTTCGCTTCCCGTCTGATGAAAGGACCAGGAGTGTCTGGATCAAGCTAGCTAGTAGCTAGCACGTTAGTTAGCATTACAGCCTTGTCATTTTTATTAGCCTTAACATGAAGTAACATTAAGTAACCCAAAATGTTAAACAGTAAGAGTAGTAGTCATATTTCGTGAACCCTTTGAATAGTACTGTCACCGGTGTGATCATTCTATAATACACAATTTACAACCCAGTCTCACGGCATTTCGTGTTATAGTCATGAAATTAATTTAATCTATTGATTCATGTTCACCAACACGATTTTCAAAATGTTTTCGTGTCACACAGAACGATTTTAAATGCAATGTATTTCTATTGGTAGTATGTTTCGTGCCTGCACCACGTCTTTTTGTCCGGTCGGGCAAATAATAGTTGTATCATGCCAAAAAGCTGCTGTGTCGTTTATTGCACCTAAAACATTAAAACAAATCCAGAGTTACGTTTTTCTGTACTTCTACTTCTCTACTTCTTCTCTGCAGTGCTTCTAGAGGCATTTGCAAGGTACCAGCTCCTGAATGAAAACAACACTTGCATCATGTATTTTTGACGGAGTGGTAGGTGGAAACCTTTGAGCTAGATAGAGAAAGTGACAGTGTTAACCTCCACAGGTATGAATACATTATCTGATGCTGAATGGGAGAAACAAGCTTTAACAAGGTCGTTGTCAGTGTGAAGAAGTAGCAGAGTGTCTCTGAACAAAAGGCCATGAGTTCCCATATATCTCAGGAAAGCTTGTCAGAGTAAATGAAACGTTTCTTGTACATATTGACACTCATTTTGCAGAGCCAGGGAAAGCCACAAATTACCTAATTTCCTTTTTTTATATAATTATTTCAAAGCTTGATTGACTCTCAGCTCTCTGCCAGCAGAGATTGTTCAGAGGGTGTGTCTCACGTTTGCTTTCATCATAGCATAAGTTGGTTAATGTTATCAACTCATAAAGCTGAACAGTGCAGCTTTGTGACTAAAGATAAATGTATTCCCAGCACACCCTGTCAGTGTGTCTACAGTGAGCCAGTTAGCACCTTCTGCGGCCAATCCCTTTTCCATGAGGGTTAAATGTCACTCACACAGAGCACGGCCACTGCATGAGAAAGGGAAGCTAACACATTTTAATCAATATCATGGCAAAGCACTGTCACATGGTGTCTCATCTGTGGACTTTCTGGCTCCTTCAGACTTTTAGTGTTGGAGCTGTTAATCTGGACACCCAGAGTGTGCTGCAGAGAAGTGGAGATCCAGGAAGCCTGTTTGGATTCTCTGTTGCCTTCCACCAGCAGCTGAACCCAGGGAAAAAAGAACCTGTGAGTGAAATGTAAAGCTTTTGATAAGGTTTAATTAATTAAATTACAATTGTGCATCTGTGTCTAACCAGTTACAGTACTTTTCTCCAGATTGCTGGTCGGAGCGCCACGATCCAAACGTGAATGTTACAGGTGTCGTTTACCAGTGTGATCTTTCTACAACATCCGAGCTCTGCCAGCCCATTGAGTTTAATAATACAGGTTTGTTTTCCTGTTTAATCTGTAATCTTTTGTATTTTTATGTGATGTAATCAATTACAATAGGTACAATTTTGAACTAAACTTAACTTAGTCTGTACATGCATATTCATACTTATACACTATATTTCAGATGTTAATATTGTACTTGAAGCTGGTTACTTTTCAGAGGAACATTTTACAATAAAAACATTGTAAAGTGTCTTTATGTACCATGAAAAAAAGTCTATAAATAAGGTGTACTATTAAAATGTTGACGCTGAAAGAAATCAAATTATTTGATCCAATAAAATCAAATGTTAGAGAAATGTCCACAAAATAAATAGAGATTTGATTCCCAGCTATTTTGCTTTTGTTTTCTTGTTATATGCCATTAATCATACTACGAACCATCATATTTAATATGCTACACTACACACACAGAGCAGTTTGCTGCTTATACATTGTTGCATTAGTATCAGCAACCTAAAGTCATTTCTAACAGAATATCAGTCACAGGAGCCATGTTTCTGCAGAACAAGTACTTTTACTTTTGATAATTCAGGACATTTTAATCAAGGAGGACTTTACTGTATATGCAGGAATTGTCTTTGATTTGTAACCAAAAGATCTGAGTAAACTTCAACCTAAAATACTTATACTATAACTGTGGCTGCACAGTGAGCTTAACTTGTTTGTGTTTTATAATAATAATAATAATAATAATAATACATTTGATTTATATAGCACACTTTAAAAACAACGTCATCTCAAGGTGCTTCACAAAGCTTTCCAGAGTTCCTTCACAGTAAAGGCATAAACAACCAGTGGATGGGAGTGAGAGTGACGAGCCAGGGTCCTGGTAACAATGTAATGGTAAGCTAAACACCTCATGTTGATATAATGAAATAAAAAAATCAAACAGTCATTTTTTCATCTTTCCCTTGTTAGACTTGTGCTCATCGGTACAAGCAATGGAGCCCTCATGGAATATGTTCCTAACGTGCTGACGGTGTTACCTCTTGGGAGAAGACCTGCAGGTCGGGAAGGAGGACAGGACGTGGAGAAGGGTCGTTTGTGATTATGAAC